GGGGGGTGTTGGCGATAATAGAGCATTATTCCTTGAAGACAATCAAGGCAGCAATCAATCTCGAGACAATCAAGGCAGCAATCAATCTGGAGACAATCAAGGCAGCAATCAAACAGAGAATCAATCCAAGCATTAAGGAGCAATACACGGCAATACAGACGTTGTACAAATATATAGGAGTTGATTAGTTGTAAATATAGAATATGTAGATATCTTTCCTTGTATAGCTTGTACTGTTATTGTTAGCTTTTAATACTTGTAACAGTTTTCTATATAATGAAGAATCCTACACTATAAGCAATTATTGTGGCTTCACTATTGTCTCTAAAATCTCTTCACTGGTTTGATATTACAATTCCAAGAGTACTCATTACTCTTACCTCTACAACAACAACTATTTCTTCCCCTAAACATTCTTCTATTCCTTCTCCTATTTCACAAAAAAATTCACCACCTGGCATACAACTTTATGTTGATTTACTTTTTACCTTTTCTACTATCCTCTCTGAAGACACTTGGATTTCTCGATCACTTTTTTGGATTTTAGGTTTTCAAAACTCCAGAAGCATTATTTTTAACTCAGTATAAGTATGCTATTGACTTATTGCAAATATGCTCAATGCTAAGAGCAATCCTACTCCTATGTGTGCAAATTCTAAATTGTCTTTACAAGATGGTGAGCTGTTTTACAATCCCACTCTGTACAGGAGTACAATAGGAGCCATGTAGTATTTGACTTTATCAAGACCTAACTTAGCTTTTGCAATGAATAAGCTAAGTCAATTTCTTAAAAGTCCAACTATAATACACTGACAGGCATGTAAAAGGCTCCTTTGATACCTCAAGGGTACTCTTCATCATGGATTGAGCTTTAAACCTTTTGGAAATCTCATTCTAGAGAGATATTGTGATGCTGATGGGGCTAGTAGCACAAATGATCGAAAATCTACTTTAGGCTACTGCATTTACCTTGGTCAGAATTTAATTCAAGGGAGTTCAAGGAAGTAGAAAGTAGTTGCAAAACCATCTACAGAATCTGAATACAGATCATTATCACAGGCTCCAACAAAATTGGCTTGGCTCCAAAGCTTGTTTAAGGAGATGCAAATTTCCTTACCCTCTTGTCCAATTTTGTGGTGTGACAATATGGGAGCAGAATCATTAGCAGCTAATCCAATGTATTACTCTAGGACAAAACATATAGAAGTGGATATCCATTGCATTAGAGAGAGAGAGAGAGAGAGAGAGAGTTGTAGCCAAAGAACTGGAAGTGAGGTATGTTTCAAGTGAATTTCAAGTTGTTTACTTGCTTACCAAGCCTTTGGCAGAAGCTCGGTTTGTGTTTTTCAGAAGCAAGTTTACTACTCCTTTAGAGCAGTTTGACTCGAGGGAAGCTGTTGATGAAAACTCAATTTCAAAATAATGTACTTAGCTAAGCTTGGCTTTGACTTGTTGACTGTGCTTACTCAGCAAGTTCACAATTACAAGCTACTGAGCTGTACATGTTTGTAATTAGTTCTTGTTCAACTGACAGCATTATTGATGTTAAAGAGCAACTTATATATGACCAAAGCATTGAAGTTGTTTTGTTAGTATTTTTATTTGTAGTGATTTTGGAAACTGCTTCATTTTATGTTTGATTTTGTATTGTTGTTTGTTGTGGATTCAGAGATCGATTGGGAGATTTGATGTTTTAGGTTTTATTTAGTTTAGTATTTGTTTTGAAATTTATTTAATTTCTATTTGTTAACTACCCGTTCTGCCCCCACTTAGGTTAACGGCTCCTGCAATGAGGGGGGTATATTCTATTATATTAAATGGCAGGATCTGGAAATAATAGACTAGAACCTCCGGGGGTGTGTTTATCTACCCATTTTTCGTTATCCAGTTTATTCCCTCTACTCACTCTATGCCACTGAAACATAAAACCCAAGCTTCCTCATTGCTAGGGTTTTTCAAATTTCATGAACAATAATGATATCACAAATGACTCTCTCTGTCTCTACTCCTTCTCTCTTATCTTCCTCCAGACTCAATCCTCTCATCTTCTCTAGACGACGCCGTTCCATTTGGCTCTCCCAGTGGCATTTCAATGTTATCAAACCAAGATTCTTTGCAGGTACTTGTTCCTGAGCAGTTTTATGTGTTTGTGTTTTCTTTTGTTTCTCTTTATGTTATTTTTACCAGAAAATGTATTCTTGGTGGAATTCAGTTGCTGCAGCGGAGAATGGTGGGCTGCCAAAGTCATTTGATTTTACTTCAGAGGAAAGAATATACAATTGGTACTAAACAACTTACTAATTTATTTTTGTTTTTGGTTTTGTATATGCTTTAATCTCAAGATATTAGTGTCAACATTTTAAATAAAGGTTCAGAAAATTTTTGCTAGTGATAAGGTACACCAAGATACTATATGTTTACTTTGGTCTGACTGAAGAACTTTTTTCTCCTTAAAAATTAACATGATGTGACTGGGAATTCTAATTGCTACAAAAATGAGAGTAATTTCTTTAATAGAGCTGACTATGTAACATACTTTAGGTAGATTATGAATGGACCAAGCCCCGGGGATAGATGGTAATAGTTAGTTGTATTGCCTCTTGGATTTTTTTCTACTTCCCAGTCTCTACTTTCCAAGCCCCGAGGATAGACGGTTGTGGAGATGCTCGTTTGTTTGTGAACCCCCATCTGTAAATTTGCTTGATTTTTATGATTTTTTTGTTCCAAAGTAATTTTGTATTTACATGATATTTTTCAGATTGCTGCATGCATTACCGGATAGCCCTCGGTTTTGTATCTAATTGCTCTATGTATAGCTTTTGATAGTTGCTTCTCACCATTTTTTCTTCCACATGATATATTCATTGTGTTGGATGTTAGGTGGGAGTCTCAAGGCTATTTTAAGCCAAACTGTGAACGGGAAGGTGATCCTTTTGTGATATCAATGCCACCTCCTAATGTCACTGGTTCGCTGCACATGGGCCATGCAATGTTTGTGACTCTTGAGGTTGTAAAGATGGTTTTTAGATACATTTTACCTGAATTTAATTTTCATTGTATTTGATGTCCCCCTAAATTTTTTGGTCTATGCAAGCATATTCTTTCACATCTTTCTAATAAACAAAAAATTGTTCTTCCTTATCTTGATTTTCTTTCTTGATGACTTCTAAATTTTTCTTGCACTTTTTGGTCTATATTCATGCTGGTATTACAATGTGTTTTGCATTTCTTGAACTGCTAATGTTGACCTGGGGTTATTTTGTTTACTTATGCCCCTAGTCAGCTTCACTAAACACATTAAGATATCTGTTACTTTATATTGCTCTGAGAACTGAGCTTATAATGGTCGGAGTAAGGTTGTAGGATCATCCAATGGTTTATTTCGTGAAAGTGGCTAGTTTGATATTGCCAACTGTGGCTACTTCATTCTGGTATGCAGTAAAATGAAGCCTTTTATCCTAAATTCAAGATGGTAGGATACTGATTAGGTCATGTAATTTAGAGTTATAATACAATGAAAGAACAATAATTAATTTGATGTCTCTGAAGTTGAATGAATGGAATAAAAAAATTTATGATGATGCTGGAGAGGAAGATGCTGAAATTTAATGGGAAAAGGTTCATGTCCTTGCTTGGCTTTGAATTTGTAGTGTAGGAGCATATTACAGTCATCTTTAGTAAGGAAAATTTGTAGTGTAGTTAGATGATTTTTGGGTTTGGTTTTCTTGTGATTGTAAGGTGTCTCGTTTAGTGGACTGGTGCTCCGTATTTTTGTAAACTTTTCACTGTCTTGTAGAAGAACTGGGGAAATTGGCTGGAGCAACTTCACCATTTCTTTGTTTAAATGCTCTATAACCAAGAGGCAATTAGTTAAAGTTAATAAATAATTTTCTGTTTTCTGCACTTGAAGCTTTCCTGTAACCTTTGAGTGGACAAATTTGGACAGCCATTTTTTTTTTTTTTTTTCAAATTACTGAGATGATAGTTAGATATATAAACGGACAATTGCTGTTGTTTATGGCTTCAAAGTAGACCGATTAAGAGCACTAGTAGAATTTTTTGGAAATTGTTGCATCTGGCAGGACTATATACCCATCGTAGATCCTGAATTAGTTGTTGATGTATGTTGATGATCATAAATGTTTTCTGGGTTATAATTTGCATGTTTAATTCTAGGTTTACAGCATTTATGTTCTTTTTGTACATTCATTTCTAATTCTTTGATTCTTTGTGGTTGAGTTTCTATAATAATATTGGGAATCCGATGTAGATTGTAACTCTGAATTAGATCAATTCTTTTTTGAATCTCTCATTTCTAATTCTTTGATTCTTTGTGGTTGAGTTTCTATAATAATATTGGGAATCCGATGTAGATTGTAACTCTGAATTAGATCAATTCTTTTTTGAATCTCTATTCATGTAATTCACTCAACTCTAGATGATATTCCATTTTTTTGGGTACATAATTCTTAATACAGACTTGTATTTTGATCTGGACATTTGAAATTATTTCGTTTGCTGTGCAAACCAAGGAAAATGATGAAATTGTGTTGTATCAAGTTGGAAACCCAATGGACTTAATTTCATTTATATCATATTGCTCTGACTATGATGAAAAATCTGGTCATTTCCAAGCTGTTGCACATGATTTAAACTATCTTCTCTTCTCTTTCCTTGTTCCCCTTTTATTTTTATTTTTTTCTTGTCTTCAAGAGTCAAGACCTATTTTACCTAGAGATCATGAATATGTTTAATTCTATGTGCATTTTCTTGTCTTCTGTAGGTATGTTACCATTCTTATCTACTTTCTATGGTCTTCTTTGCCAGGATATAATGATTAGATATCATCGAATGAAAGGAAGACCAACACTTTGGCTTCCGGGGACTGATCATGCTGGAATTGCAACTCAGGTACTTTGTCTAACCAAAAGGATCTATACATACATCGTTCAGTTGTTTTTTTTTAAACACAGTAATCAATTCATGCGGTCTTTTGTTGATGATCATCCATGCTGCTGATAGCATTGGGAAAAAGTTGTCATGCATATAATAATCAATGTACATAAATCTTTGTTGACTTTCATCAATGTTGCAGTTTTCAGTGGAAGATATTGTTTAGTTGTTGTGTACACTATTGAATGAAGTATGAAAAGTTTGTGATAAGGTTTCGCTCATTTGGATTTTATAGGTTTTAAAATTAACTTTTTTTAGCTAATATGCTTTTTCTTTTCATGATGTGTACAGTTGGTTGTTGAAAGAATGTTGGCGTCTGAAGGACTAAAAAGAGTTGAATTGAGTAGAGATGAGTTCACCAAACGAGTTTGGGAGTGGAAAGAGAAGTACATACCCCTCCTTCATTTATTCCTTCTGAAAATCTTTGTTTTTCGTTTAAAAGTGGCTTACACTCTGCTTGATGATTTGCTAAATCCGTAATTGTATGACTCCTCACTGCCCCTTTAGGTTTACTGAAAATTTAAATGGATAAATGTGTTTTAAGATTATAAATTTCCTTTCCAATTTTTAGGGCATCTCATTTAGTTTTAGAATTTGTTCGTGTTTAATTGTTAAAATCTCATCACTATCTTTAACTTCTGTAAAAAAAAAAAAAAATAGATCATTTTAACCCCAAAAATTGAACATTTAATGTACGAAACTAGTAATTTAACTAGGAAAATATAAACCAAGGACAAATGAAGAACAAAAACATTTTATTTCATTAGATCTTTCTTTACAACAATTGTACTACCTTTGAAAATAATATCCTTCAAATGAAAGTGAAAAATTAAATTACCACTGCACCACAAACATTTGGGAAAGACAACCTCTTTCCCAAACCCATATAATCATTTCTAGCATCTCAACCACTTGCTGTGGTAGAAGAGATTTTAGACTTCCAAAATAAATCTCAAAAGCATCCCATCACCTTAATCTGACACATTTTGTTCCACATTTAGTGTCAAAAGCCCAAATTTGCAATCGTGCAGTGACTCAAATGCTTGATGCCACATTTAATCCTGCTCATCTTTGCTGCTGCACTCCATAGCGTATAAAATTTCCTTTCAGAGATCTCTTACGTTCTATTAGGATGATACATGTTGCTGTCAACACCTCCATATCCCGCTTTTATGACTTGTTCGATGTTGGACTTAAATGGCTTTGACATGGCATGGTTCATTGTGGTAGTTGATGGTGATGGCAATGCAAAAGGACACCAATTCTTGGACTTGCATGATTGATACCTGTTAGGTAACTGGTTAAAGCATTCAGATAAGAGATAGGCAGATAAATCTTTGGGTATGTCTTTTATTTTGTTATTCTTATAGTCTTTGTCACCTTGACAACAGTTTACAGTCTAATGGAGGAGAAGATTTTAGGCCTAAACTCTGGGAAAGCTTGTGGAAATTTGCGATACATATTTTATGATGTCCATGGGTAGTGATCTCAATTCACATTTATCTGATAAGGTCAAAGTCCAAATTTTGGGGCCGTCTTTAGAAAATGTAACCTCAAATACAGTTTTAGATGCTTGGATTTGGTATTCCTTGGGTAAGGGAAGTTGGGTGAAAGATTGGATTATAGAATTTAATTGTTCACTTGTTTATTTTCTCTTATTCTTTTGCCTGTGGTGTATTCATTTTCTCTGTTGAATTCTATGGATTACTTTTCATTTGAAATACCTCCCATCATCTGGAGTGCTAGTTTTTGTTCTGCTTGCCTAATTATTGGTGTTTAAGGTTCTTTATTTTTTAATTTACTGGTATGATTATTTATATGAACGGGGTTGTTTCTTCAAGCTTGCTGCCTCTTTAATATGTCAGGTATGGTGGAACCATTACTAATCAGATTAAGAGACTTGGTGCTTCTTGTGATTGGACTAGAGAAAGGTTCACCCTTGATGACCAGCTAAGTCGTAAGACAGATATTCTATTATAAGAACTCTATCACAACTGAAAACGTGTGTGATTATTGTGGATAGTACAAGATTTATGGAGTTTTAGGATGTGTAGATGTGCCAACCATGATTACAGCCTTTATTGCTCAAACATTATAGTAGTTTGGATTTATTGTTATACATTCTGATATATCATCCTTTCATTTTTGCAGGAGCTGTTATTGAGGCGTTTATTAGGCTTCATGAGAAAGGATTAATCTATCAAGGTATAGACTGAAGTTCCTTTGAACATTGTTCTTCTGGTCTTACCTGACCAGGAACTCAGACCAAAGCAAGGTTTTTAGGGATCTTTGGATATGGATTATATCCATAAACTGTGCCCTCTTTTGTCAAGGTAGCACTACTTTATTGGTGCCCCTTTTAAAAGAATAAGATCCTTATGCCCTTTCAAAAGTATCAGATCCTTACTTCCCAGCCCCTTTATTGTGTCTTGATTCACTAGTATGGCTTACCTTTCATCAATGGAAATGTTTGAAGTGTTACTTGCCATTTCCTTTCAGTCAATGAGGTTATATGACCTAAACGCTTGCACTTGGCTCCTTTTCTTCTGAAAATTGCTTTTTGAATTCATACGATAGAAAAATATTGACAGAATGTGAATACTCTTGACAAATATGCTTACATTTCAGACATGCATATTATACTGTTCTTCATATAGTAATATAAATATATAATTTGATGCAGAAGAAAGCTTTAAATTCAAGCTTCTAGAGGCTGGCTGCCTGAATCTTCACTTATCATTTAATTATGTCTAGGCTCCCTAGCATGTAAACAAGTTAGTTAAAAGTGCTGTTGTTTCCTAATGCAAAATTAAATTACTCAAAATCAATATCTTAACAATGCCTGTGATATGTTGATTTTAAGTGTAGTTCTTTAAATGTGACCAAAATATAATTATACTTCTACTCACAAAATAAAAATAGAAAAGGGAACCAAAATCTCTTCTGACTTTCTTCAATATTAGACTTAAATACATATGTTTTGGAGTTCTAGGAGGAAGAGTAATAGATACATTCCTTCCTTTCTGGAATATTTACAATCATCCAATGGTGAAAAAATGAAAAGGGTTACTGCTGCTAAACATTTGGGACTTTTATTTTACTTCAAGGTTCTCAGATTACTATGTGTTTGAGTATGCAAGACATCTCACAATTTTAGGAAATTAAATGATCTTTGATTTTATAATTACCACTATATGGATGATCAGTTAAATGAATTAATATTTTTTTCAGGGTCTTACATGGTTAACTGGTCTCCTAGTCTACAAACTGCAGTTTCAGACTTGGTATGGTTTGATTTAATATGGATATTGCTCTTTTTAGTGCTATTATGTTTAAAGTAATAGCTTTTGACCTAAAGCCCTTTTTTTCCCCCATCTTCTTCTTACTTATTATTTTCTGTGTTAAGGAAGTAGAATATTCTGAAGAGCCTGGAACCCTATATCATATTAAGTACCGTGTTGCTGGAAGGTATTTACCTGAGTGTTATTTTGTGCATTCATATAGCATGTAGGATGCACATGAAAAAAATGAATTTTTAGAGTGATAAAAGTAGAACTTCAAATTTTGGAATAACAGTAACAGAGCATAATATACAAAGTCTTAACCATTTTTCTGTTTGGTTCTTGAAACGATACAATGGGAAGGAAGATGTCTTTTATTTTTGCTGCCCAAATGTATATTGGTTTGGCACTTAAGTTTGTTTTAACAGTAGATCACTATTTGGTTCTTTCTGTTTTTAATTTGTCATGCAATTGAACTTTATCTATGTGAAACTCACATTTGCTTTTGGATACTTATAATTTATAATTTAAGTCTTTGTTTGTTACTTTTCAAGGGATTTTAATCTCTACATATTGATGTTTAGATGTTCTTCACTTGCAGTAATGACTTCTTGACTGTAGCAACGACACGCCCAGAGACTTTGTTTGGGGATGTAGCTATTGCAGTAAACCCTAAGGTAGAACACTTACTTTGCCTTGAACAAATTATTCTTAGACGGATGGGCCTAGCTGCTCAGAAGTTACTTTGTGTATATTGTCAGCATAAGGATTCAATGGTTTCTGTTATGGTGCAGAGGTTCAAATAAGCTAGGTTTCACAATTGGCAGGACTGAATATCTAGAGTCATTGTACTCTATAGAACTCAAAATCTTGAATACATCATATGAACCAATCCTGGAGATCAGTTTGGATCTCCGTTTGCCTTCTGCATCTTTGTTATTTTAAATTTACTTAAGAAGGTAGCATACTGGGATTAAACCTACATTCTGTTTCTGCATTTTTCACTTATTGTGAATTAGCTTGCTTCAGTAAATTATTTCTAGCTGATACATTAGTTTATATTTGTTTCCCACTTTTTAAATCCATGTTTGCTCTTGAAAGTGGCTACTTCCACAAGTTTAATCAATTCTGTCAAGTTTTGTAAAAAAAAACTATTGCATGGCTAATTACTTTATGGTTCAGTATCAAATTTGTAATATGTAATTTTGTTGTAGCATGCAAGTGGTTTGCCTCTACCTTTTCCAACTGTATTCTCAAAATGTTTTTGGTGGATACCTTAAGGCAGATTTCTTCAAGGAGCATACATCACTTCATGTGAACTGGATGACATGGCTGATATAATTTGTCCATTTTGTGGTGCCTTTCTAGAACATTTTTATCCTCTTGCATTGTGCTGTTCCTTAGTAACAAACAGTTGTGGACCTTACAGAGCAGCATTGAAATTGAAAAGAATTTTCAATATAAGGATGACTGCAGTTTTTGAATGATATGGTCCCTGTATTAGAAAAAGACTTGTTGTGTCTTGCATCTTATCCATATCAACTACAATCTGGAATATGTGAACTTTGAAACTTTTTGTCTACAAACTACAGTGTTGCTTAAGTTTGTCATCTGAGAGAGTTTACCGATTTGTAACTTCTGCTGTTTCCGCGGTCATCTTGGCAAAAGTAATTTGTTTCAGATGATGGTCCAGATGGAGATTCTCCTACATGTATCCGGCCAAATTTTGGCTTGTCCTAGTCTTTTTATGGGTATTTCAGCCCGCATTGTTTTAGCTTGATATATAGAATATTTTCTTATGTAATTTATTACCTTATCCCATGTATTTCATGGCATTTTTATTGAAGCAAAACACCAATGAATTGTGTCAGCATATTGCACAGAAAATTGGTTTGTCTGCATACACAAACTGGTCAACTATGCCTTAAATTACAAAAGTACACAGATGCTTTTAACACTGTATGTTTCATGTACAACACATGTGCAAACACTCACAACACTCAATTTCTCCAACATATCCAACATGTACATATTTTATATATCAAGTCTGAAAAGTTATATTTTATTATTCTTATGCAGGACGATCGTTATGCCAAGTATATAGGTATGATGGCGATTGTACCTATGACATATGGTCGTCATGTCCCTATTCTAAGTGACAAGGTAAGAGCATTTGTTTACCGATTTTTTTATGATTATGTTTTACATTTTGTTTCAATTTTGCTAGTATGATGATAGCATAGTGATGGAAACCTCTCCTAAAACTCACCCCTATAGTTAACAATAACAGCCAACAGCCAATAAAACCCAGAAGAACAAACACTACCAGCAACCAAAATACCCAGGTAATGATATATATATGTATTGATAATCAGCAAGAGAGATGCAAAGATGATAAACAGCCAAAACACAACCCAACAACAGCCAAAAGAAACAAAGAAAACCAAAAAAGAGAAATAGAAATAATGTTGGTCTTCGAGGGCCAATTCCTCCCGGATAAAGCTGAACTTTGAGGGTCAGCACCTCCAAAAACAATTCCCACAAATCCAAAAATGATATCCCTACCCCAGTCTCACGTCCCTCTTTTATAGATTCTAAGCAACTACTCACGCCCTTTACCCTTTTGCCCTTTGCTTTTACCGTTTTGTTACCCTAGGTCCATCACATAGTAATATTTCCTTGCGCCCTTCAATTAGTTGTTCCTTGATTGAGATTGTTGCATTTCCATTTGAGAGCTTCCTTGGCATTTTTCTCTTTTTTTGGGGGTGTGGAGTTGTCAAACTTACCAGTTGTGTATTCTTCAAACCCAGTTCTAAAATTTTGCAATAACTGATATCTGTGTTATTGATCTTTTTTTTTGTGATGGCAGCATGTTGATAAAGAATTTGGGACTGGTGTATTGAAGATAAGCCCTGGCCATGATCATAGTGACTACCTCCTTGCAAGAAAACTTGGTCTCCCAATCCTTAATGTGATGAACAAGGATGGGACACTTAATGATGTTGCTGGACTGTACTGGTAATACTTTGGAAAAAATTTATTACATCATTCTGGAATAATTTTATTTGGTTGTCAAACAGTTATTGAATTGGAGAGAACTTTTTATGTTCTACCTGAATTATATTTCTATGACTGTTGAACCTTAGTGGTCTTGATCGGTTTGAGGCACGGAAGAAATTGTGGTCAGAACTTGAGGAGACAGGCCTAGCTGTAAAGAAGGTGCCTCATACTTTACGAGTTCCTAGATCCCAGCGTGGTGGAGAAGTATGTTAATGATGTCTTTGACTAACACCCTTTCAGATTTTGAAAACTGAATAGAATAGATGTCTCTTTTATGGAATTTGTTAATAATGTTTCTTTGTTTCTTCTATTAGGTAATAGAACCACTAGTAAGTAAGCAGTGGTTTGTAACCATGGAGCCTTTAGCTGAAAAAGCCCTTCGTGCAGTTGAAAAAGGAGAACTAACCATTATGCCTGAAAGATTTGAGAAGGTATGTGGAGTTGAACTGTAAGTGGCTTCATTTTGATCTCGATAGAAGGTAGATAAACTTTCTTTTGTTTCTTTGTTCTTTGTGGCAATTTCCTTAACCTCCTCTATTTGGTGGTTTCCAGTTGATGATCCACTGCTTAGGTGGACTTTATTTTGGCTTCTCTGGCCATGATTTTCCAACATCATTTATGCTGATTTATCAACTTAAAACAAAAACTTATCCAATTACCTTTTTTGCCTATCCAGCTACTGCAACTGTTTATTTAACCATAATAAACCATAAACTGCCTACTTAGTGCTTTCATTTAGACCAGATCTTTTTCTTGATTACAGATTTACAATCACTGGCTATCAAATATTAAGGATTGGTGTATAAGCAGGCAACTGTGGTGGGGGCACCGTATACCAGTTTGGTATATTGTTGGAAAAGACTGTGAAGAGGAATATATAGTTGCTAGGGATGCTGATGAAGCTCTTGAGAAAGCTCGTGAAAAATATGGTAAAAATGTGGAGGTATATCAGGATCCAGATGTTCTTGACACCTGGTTTTCAAGGTTTGTTAAACAACTTCTGCTAAAATAAGCTCTTTCTCCCTGAGCGTGTTTATTTATTTTTAACACCTGAATTTTCTTTTCTTTTTTTTTTTTCCCTTGAAATTTAACTGCTTACATATGATGATGATTAAATAAAAAAAAAAAAAAGGATGGTCTTAAAATGTGTCCTAAAGATGTGTTAAGACCACTAAAAAACAAAACTTTTTATTGTATCATTCATTTTGTTTTTAAGAAGATACAGAAAGACATTTTTCAATGTATTGAAATCATAAAAAATATATACTTTTGTAACCTTCACATGTGCTCTTAAGACACATTTAGCCCACCCATAAAAACAGCCGCATTATTTTCTTAGATCTATGTCTGCCATTTCTGTCCTTGCTGAAGCCTTCGTTGTATTTTAAGAAACTCACATTCTCCTCTTATGTACCTCCTGTATTCCCCTTATTTTCTTATTCATGAAAATTAGTTGTACTGAAGATCTTCCTGCAGTCTGTGTATAGTTTCATTTGATAATAAATAATCTTGAAATTGCATATAAAAGCTTTCTTTAGAGGATGCATGAACAATTTCTCGAATATTAGTTATATAATTAATTTTTTTTTTACTTGTTCATCAGATTGTGAATGAAACCTTTAAGTTTGTGCGAAATAATTTGTTATTAATTTCTGAATAATGATTTTTATTAGTTACTAGGCTGCTATGATTGAAAATTTTTACAATATACGAAAAGTGGAAGCACTTTTTGCCTAAAATATTTGTCCAATGAAAGATTGTATATTCACCAAATGTCTGGGAATTAGTTTGCATTATTATACTAAATATTGATGCACTATAAGTGCTTTGTGTAGTTTGCATTGTTATACTTAATATTGATGCACTATAAGTGCTTTGTGTCAGCCTCTTAATTTCATCTTAGAATTGAGCTACGATTTCTTAGTAGGCTCATTCAAGTAATACAAATTTCTTAAAGAAAGAAACGACTTAGGAGTTGGCCTAAAATTTTTAAGTTTGTAGATTGGGTTTATGTCTTTGTTATGTAGAATGAAGAAATTTTGCAAGAAAAGTAGCTATCAAATAAATAAGAGTTAACTGATTACTTAATTATATGGGATTAAGATGGTTACATTACTTGGTTTCATTAGTTTTGGGTTAAAACTCTTAGATAACAGAAAAAAATAAAATAAAATAAAGGTATTTTAGTTGGAACTTCAAAGTGAAGTGAATTACATATTTCTCAATCTTATATTTTCATACTCCAAAATTTCCCTGATGGAAACATGTGAAAGCTCAGATAAGAGTTATTGTTTGTAGTTCCGCACATCAACACTCTCTCTTCGATAGCATACACATTATATTTTTCTATATAATAAATATATCCTTTCTGAACATATATTGCTTACTTTTATCTTCAGTGCGCTATGGCCTTTCAGTACTCTTGGGTGGCCAGATGTGTCCACGGAAGACTTTAAGAAGTTTTATCCGACAACAATGCTTGAAACTGGGTATGTATCTTTTACTGTTAACCTTGATTTTTCTTTGTTGGGACTTGTTGATGCAATTGAATGATTATTTTTTTTGATGAAGAAATATGGCTATTTTTAAGATTGTGCACGCTGATGGGACCATTGATTTACCAAGCAGAGCTGGAATGAGTTTATATCTTCCAATTAACACGAATTATGGATGGGTATTGTTTGAATGACCATCCTTAATTTCCTAAGATACATAATATAGATTAATATTTGTGGAATGTATACTTAACATGAGGGATATCGTGAAAAGCCCTGTAAATAATAGATAATGAAGTCGCAACATTAGAATGTAAAATGGAGAGTTGACGCACCAATGTAGCACTTAACCCGATTTAATATCTCTGTTGAAGTAGGCACATCTCTTATGCTTTTGTTTGGCCACTCTGTTGTTTCTTAGAACTATCGAAATGATATTCTTCTTTGGTAACATAACATGATGCTGTAACTGGTGCTTGAATTTAAACTTTGCATCTGATGATTGTTGGTTGCAACACTTGTCTCTTGTTTGGGGCAGGCATGACATATTGTTCTTTTGGGTGGCAAGAATGGTCATGATGGGAATTGAGTTCACGGGGACTGTTCCATTTTCATATGTTTATCTTCACGGGCTGATCCGAGACTCCCAAGTGAGTACTTTTCACAAGCAAAGCCACTGTTTCAACATTGATATTCAATCTAGTTAAGTGGCAATTCTGTTCTTCAAAATGGCTAGTTTGAGTTGTAATGCTAAGTGATGTCAGGGGAGAAAAATGTCAAAAACATTGGGGAATGTGATAGATCCACTTGATACAATCAAGGAGTTTGGCACAGATGCCTTACGGTTCACTCTTGCTTTAGGAACTGCTGGTCAGGTTTGTCTTAAATTCTTAAAACTGCAACATTAGTCAATAGTTTAATAATGAAAATCTGCATCTTGTGAAGGTGCTGCTTTTACACACATATGAGTCTCAGGTTATGGAAGTATTTTGCCTTGTCATTTGATTTCTCATGCTCTTCTTCCAGGACCTCAATTTGTCTACAGAGAGATTGACCTCAAACAAGGCCTTTACCAACAAATTATGGAATGCTGGCAAGTTTGTTTTGCAGAATTTGCCAAGTCAGAGTGATACATCTGCTTGGGAAACTATTCTAGCTTATAAGGTTTGTTTATCCTTACAGTTTAGGAATCAGAGAGATGAATGGTCCTTCGACTAAAGAGAAGATAGATTTACTAACAAAGAAGAAAATATATTTCACATTCTCAAAATGTCAGATCAACAACATCACCAACCATATGCGAATTTCACATGACCTTTTTATTCAATATTATGCTTCGGAATAAGATTGGATTAGTAGAAGATACATCATTTCTTCTGTATCACATGGCTTGAAAATTGTAAGTTTTTCTCCACACAGGATATGGTCATTAACTTATCCTTATATTTAAGTATATCATTGCTTCGCAGACAGCATGATCAGTATGAATATGAGTGAGAAATACACATGTAAATTTTTTTTTTTTTTTTCCTTTGAAAAAACGAAAAGAAAAGAAACTGCAACACCTTAAAACTTCTATTCCCTCTTTTTTCTGTGATGCATGATTTTCCAGTATTTGAATTGGGTGCTGAACTACAATTTTTTAAGTTCATTCTCAATTTATCTATCTCTTATGTACTAACCTCCCTTATACTGCGGCTTAAATACAGGAAGACTTATGTGGTTTTAAGTTTCACCGAAAACTTTTTAATTTCTCCACTGAATAATATTATTCTTCGATAACAGGTCCAAAAGTTCTCATTTAATTGATTTAGTTATAGTTCTATGACTTACCAAATCATTCCATCAACTAGATAATAATGCCATATCACTTGGGATTAGGAAATATGTAATAACTTTTGGGATAAGGAGTGTCACTTGTTCACTGTTGCAGCAATGTATATGTTTAAGGCAGTATCTTATTCTTTAAACTTACGACTTACTTCTTTTTTTCTCCTTTTTCAGTTTGACAAAGAAGAGTCCCTGCATGGTGCACCATTACCAGAATCTTGGCTGGTAAGAAAATCATTATGGTATATTTTCTGGATTGCCAGCTTATTATGGCCCTGCAATTAACCAGATAATTTCATTGCAATGTGTTATCCGATTTCTTGGTGTTGTTGACTGTAGAATGATTATATAAAAAACACATCAGTTAACTGCGTTTAATTTTCAGGTCTCAAAACTCCATATGCTTATTGATACAGTCACTGCAAGCTATGAAAAATTTTTCTTTGGAGAGGTTGGAAGAGAAACATATGATTTCTTTTGGAGCGATTATGCCGATTGGTATTTTCAACAACTTAACAGTAATTTTATGGGACAATATGATTTGTATGTTGTTATATTCTCTTAGTCTTCCGTTTAACCATTCTTATGCCTAATATTCCTATGCATGTGAGTGTGCACACTTATGGGGTATATCTTCCTAGGATATACATTTATTAGTTGAAGTTGATATATATAAGTCTTTTCAACATGGTGGAAAATATGAGTATGGCAAAATCTTTAGGTTAACCTTCACAAAAATTTAAAAAGTTTTAAATAAATGGTTCATAAATATTCATGTTGCTAAGATTTACTATTTTTCCCCTTTACAGGTACATTGAAGCCAGTAAAGCTCGCCTGTACCACTCGGGACGTGATTCAGAGGCTTTACTAGCACAGGCAGTTCTATTGTATGTTTTTGAAAACATACTAAAATTGCTACATCCATTCATGCCATTTGTGACTGAGGAACTGTGGCAGGTAATTAGTTTTTTTAGTACTTTAGGAAATTCTTTGAAATTTGAAGTGGAATCTTATCATTTATGATTAAAGTTTGTTATTAGATTTTTGCTGAATAATTGGTTATTAAAGTTTTGCCCATCTTTACTAGGTTTAAAATCTTTTCATTAGTGACCTTGTGGAGTGTTTAATGATATCATCATATCTTTCACTTGTAAAAAGCTTCATTATTTTTTACCAATGACTTTGTGGCCTGACGGAATAGGCTTCCTTGCAAAAGGCATGGCCCTTGGTATAAGCCTAGGTATATGGGTAGGGAGGGATTTAGGGTGGGGAGGAAGTACAAGAAATCAAAAGGCAACGATATCTTTTTGCATTATATATTTAGATTTAGAGATGGTTTAATGGAACTTGATTTCTTAGTGTGAACATACTGTTGGAGAGGTAGGAGAGACTAAGAAAGTGGAGATAAAGTAGAAGAATTAGAAATGGGAGAAAACAAGAGGAATCATGTGAAAGGCCAATATTAATTATTTTGTATTCATCAAGTCTTCCCAAGAAAACACAGGGTCTCATTATGATTGTGACCAAGGCACAAGTAACTTTGACAAAAGGGGGAAAAAAGGTTTAAATTCCTTCAATGTAATAAAGCTAACATAAAATGGAGCAAAAATCGTGAAATAGATTACTTCTGATATAACTACTAAAACTTGATTTTTGATTCTCTACTAGACTCTTTAGCAAATGGCATTTGAATACATTCTTAGGCACTACTACACATTTTTGTTAGAGAGCAGTAAAAATGAATTAACAAAGCTGTTCTGTAATGATTATTTTATCTTTGTGAAATCATTAATTCTGTCTCAAAACAAGCAAATTCAGATTGTTATTATAGTTTCTGTTTTGGCCATTTTGGTCTTTTTACTTCTTTTTTTTTTTTTTTTTTTTGGATAAAGAAACAAAAAAGATTTAATTAAACAAATAGTTACATTATTGTTCAAGTGAAATACAGGTCCCTTGAAAGGAATGGAAAAATAAGATACAAAAGGAAGACAACATAACATCTTAGATTTAAAGGAAAAAGAAAATTAAACCACTGCAGATTTTTAATCTCTATAAATAAATAGGAAAGAAATCACCTGAAATTGTGTTGTAACTAAAGCGTGCAGGGAAGCAAGAACACTTGTTATATCCCATATTCTTGACCTCTTCCACCTCTCACACCAAATAAGTAGACATTAGCCAAAATATAGCATCTCATAATCCAAAACTTTGTCTCCAAATGTGTTTTGATATTAAATAATAATGCAACACAACTCTGGAATCGCCTGAGCTATTTCACCTTCCTTAAAGATCTTAACCATAGTTTTTAAAAAAAGGGCAATGTAAATTATTAAAGCTTTCCACATTCCTTCTATTCATAACACACCAATATGGAGAAAGATAAGGATCAGGTCACCATTACTGAATAGCGTTAGCTCTACCAACCTTTCCATGAGCCACCAACCAGGGTAGGAACGAAACTTTGGAAGCCTTCCATTTCATCAACTGTTTGGTCATGTCTTTCATAACATGATTAAAAGTGTAATGCAAGCAGGAAATTGCATTTCATCAGAAAATTTTATCTTGTTTCCTTTTCATGTTATAATCAGTATTCTAAAGTCTTGCTTCCTGATTGAAGATCGTTCTTTGAATTAACAATAGATGGTATGAAACATCCTGCCAACACCCTCTTTGAATTATCGTTATATGAAATAGACACATATAGCTTTTCCTTTTTCTTTTATTTTCTTTCAATGGATTCTTGATTCCTTTTTTACCCCAGTGGAGTTGTTTTTCAGTGTATGATGTTTTTACCCTTCTCTATGTTTTAATCTATAACAGGCACTTCCAAGACAGAAAGAAGCCCTTATAGTATCGTCTTGGCCCCAAACTTCACTTCCAAGGAATCTGAACTCAATAAAAAGATTTGAAAATCTACAAGCATTGGTAAGTTTATTAATCTGTTTCTGTTTCTCTCATTTCACCTCCAAGTCTGAATTTTCCTTCTAACTTCAATGTTATTTTTTGTCATTAATATTTTTATATTTATGAGATAGACTAGGGCAATTCGGAATGCTAGAGCTGAATATTCTGTTGAGCCAGCTAGGCGTATATCTGCATCAATAGTTGCAAATGAAGATGTCATCCAGTATATATCTGTAAGTCAGCTGGTTACCTGGCCATTATCTTGTTGGAGGAATTATTTTTTCTGTTTACTACTGTGCACAGTCTGATTTCAGTCAGTATTAAGCTTGTTGTGCCCATATGCATGCCATATTGCCAAGTCAGTTCTGACTGCTAATAGCTAAATCTTAAGGCTAAGTTGGAAATAAAGTCTTGTTCTCTGAGTTTATGGACATTAACGTATGCGTGTTTGCAGTTTAAGCATCGTTATGGGACTTTATTTTTTGTATATTATTTGTTTGATGCAGAAAGAAAAGGAGGTTTTAGCTCTCCTATCAAGACTGGATTTACAACATATACATTTTACTGAATCTCCTCCTGGTATTTTTACTTCCAAAATCAGTTTTCTTTGCCTGGTATCAGTTGGTATAATTGATTTATGGATGTGTAAACATTGTGTATGTAAATGCTACTTTACTTCAGGGGATGCAAATCAATCAGTTCACCTTGTTGCCAGTGAAGGACTAGAGGCGTATCTCCCGCTTGCTGATATGGTGGATATTTCTGCTGAAGTCCAGCGCCTTTCCAAACGCCTTTCAAAGATGCGATCGGAGTATGAAGGACTTGTAGCTCGCCTCAGTTCCCCAAAAGTATGGACTTGATTCTCTCTTTGTTGTAACAAATACTTAAATACATGCATAAGCACAAAGTTATCTACATGTCCTTAAATGGAGATGTGCACGTGTATAGCATCAAATTCAGGTAGTGGTTTTTAGAGGAGAATTCACATGCACAAATATTGCCAAACATTAAGTTTAGATACACAAAGCTCAAGGCCCATACACTAGAACTAATTAGAAAAAGGGCTCATCAAAATTTTTTTGTAGTAGTTGCTAGCTTTGCCTGGATGTCTGTGTTGTTACTACAAAATGTGATCAGATTTGCACCAATAATTGTGAAAGTAGAGTTCCATTTCTGAAAAAACAAAAGGGGTAGACCTTTCATGCTGTTTAACTTAATTTCAAAAACAGAAAAAAAAAAAAAAAAAAAAAAAATTATATATAGATATAGATATATAATTCAAATAAAGAAGATTTTGTTGGCTCTCTCTTGGTGGAAAGATGGCTGCTGATTGCCGAAGCAAATTCCTCTGTAGAGATTGTTAGATCTCTATCAATTAATTAATCTATGAATATAGGCTTTTGTTGCACATCTTCTTGATTTCTTGATGATATATGTTCTTGATTTCTTGATGATATATGTGCAACAAGTGGTGGTTCCCTTTCCCTCTCCGGAGCATATTTCTTTCTATATGTTNTGTTTGGTTAGTTGGTGGGTATGTTATATTAATATGTTTGGTTATGGGGAATAAATTGGTGGGTATGCTATTTAAATTACTAAATTGTCCCCCTTTTAAATATTAATATAAAATTATTTTTATTATTAATTTTTGAATAATTCTTTTAACCCCCAATATTTCAGATTTAGCTAAAACACCCCCGCTTATATAAAACTTTAATTTATGACATTAAATTAATTAATCTATGAATATAGGCTTTTGTTGCACATCTTCTTGATTTCTTGATGATATATGTGCAACAAGTGGTGGTTCCCTTTCCCTCTCCGGAGCATATTTCTTTCTATATGTTATGGAGTTTGATAAGGAAAATGAATCGCTCCATTTATGTAACAGTTTTTGCTCTATGCAGTTCATAGAAAAAGCTCCTGAGGATGTTGTTCGAGGGGTTCAAGAAAAAGCAGCAGAAGCAGAAGAGAAAATAAATCTGACAAAGAACCGTTTGGCTTTTCTTCAGTCAACTGTTTTGGTAACAAAATAGTCTCATCATTGGCTTTGGTTACATTTTCCCTCCAAAACCAAGGCTGATAAATGAATGGTTTATCGTTGTTTTAGACAACCACTGATAACCCATTCAAAGAACAAGCAGCACCGTGATTGACTGCGGCTCAACGAGGAACTTTGCATGAACCGTGGCTGTTTGCGTGGAAGCACAAAATTGCCTGTAGGAGCCATACGATGTGGATTGACAGTGAGTTATTAGTTTCTTGGTGTTACAAATCTTTAGCTCCATTCGTTTGTATTTCCTTCCAAGTTCACTTTTTCTGTTAGGTTATAGGAGTATGTATTGAATTAAGAATATTCAGTTATCTCTATTGATCATCTCATCACGAGGGGGAAACTGGTGTAAATCACATGATAACTTTATTAATTGGAAATCAATTTTTTTTTGTTTTTTAATTTTTATAAGAAAAAAGATTAAGAAAGTCGATAAGTATAATATTTCCAACTGGCATTAAAATTATTAGCGTCCATCAATCCAGAATATACTTCGAAAGTGGACATCATATTTTTAATCAATATTAATCCCGCATTGTCCCTCAATCTACCACTAAAACGAGACATCATTTGCTAAAATATTGAGAGCAATGTTATAAAACCCAGCCCGGTCGGTTGAACCGGTTCAATCAAGACTCGGGGCTTTCATCGGGCCGGGTTAGCAATTTTTCTATTTACCGAAAATTGTAGAAATTGAGATAGTGATTGCTGAATAATTGAAGGTCGAGATGTTTGGGCTTTTGGAGAGGAAGGGCTAGTGAGTGTAATAGTGGCGACGGAGGTGATTTCCAATGAGTAAATCGATCGAAAATTGTAAAATAAATCGGTGACAACAGTGGGTTGTTGTTGCCGATTGGCAAGACAATCAAGGGAGAGGTGATATGGGTTTTGATCAGGAGGTTGAGGAGAGTGTTTTCATAGTGATGGCAAATGTTGTCGTTGTCGGAAACAGATCCTATTTACCTTGGTTTATTGATGCCGACGATGATGTTTAAGATGTTTTTGCAAGATTTCAAATCTTTAGAGTGTAATATGTAATTTTCAAGGGTGTTTTTGATATTTTAAACGTTTGGACATGATCAAACCAGTTAAACTAGTCAATTACTCAATTCCAACCTGGCCACTTTGCCGAGTTTCACCCTAAGTTGGTTATTAAAAGACTGATTGAGAGAAGTTAATTAAATAATATATGGTTGAACATCCAAGCTCCATTTGAAAAAACCTTATGTGATAACATAGCACATAAAAATAGGATAACTGTAATCTCAAACTGTTAATCATTAAATGATAAATTGAGATGAGATTACAATAAATGATAACGTTTGGGAGTATGAATCTCTATATTCAAGTTATATGTTTATATTTTTAATTAATTTACCCTAATTTTATTTTATTTTTTCATTATGCTTTCCTTTTATAATCTTCAAAACTCATAGTTTAAAATAAAATTATTTCTAAAAACTAAGCCTAATTAGTAGAATCCACAGCTACTAAATATTATATGATATGACCCCAAAGATAAATGAACTTTAGCAAAGTTATTTAACTGTTCACAGTACAGATGTTTATATTTAGGGTTGCTCAAAGTTAAATGTTTTGGTGATTAACTTTAAACAAATCTAAGCCACTAAAAATGATTAGGTGGCACAAGATCCTTGAAAATTTCAGTTCAATTAAAGATTAAAAGAGGATATAAATTCAACAGCATCACACTATCACAATCGTANAATATGGCTTCCCTTAAGACAGAATTCAATCTGCTGTTACTAGCTGGTAAATCTGCGGTAAAAGATTTGGCTCAACGAGACAAGTTCTTTATGGTCTTGACACTTACAGCTCTAGGTCCAGATCTTACACCTGTTCGAGATCAAATTCTTTCTGGATCCACTGTGCCTTCCCTTGATGAAGTGTTTGCCAGATTACTTCGGGTTTCCTCCCCTATTACTGTGCATTCCCCAGGTGACTCTTCGGTCCTTGTTTCTCAGTCCCACACTTTTCGATAACAGGGCGATCAAAGTGGCAGAGGAAAGCCCAAGGGTAGTTACTGTCATCGGTGGGGGCATACCAGAGAGAAATGTTTTAAGTTACATGGTCGACCTACCCGAACTGCTAATATTGCTCAGGCTAATCACTCTGATCTTCATTCTGAGTCCTCTACAGTGCCAGCTCAGCCCTCCTTAACTCTCACAGGTACTGATTATGATGAATACTTATAGTAGCAGGCTAGTAAGCAGTCTTCTTCATCCATTGCCTCCGTCGCTCAAACGGGTAATTCAGTTGCTTGCCTTTCTCAGTCTTCTGCTTTAGGATCTTGTGTCCTAGATTCAGGTGCATCGGATCATATTTCTGGTAACCCTCGTTTACTTACTCAGATGACAAATACTGTATCTTTACCTCTTGTTACTTTAGCCAATGGGTCTAAAGCCGATGTTCAAGCTATTGGATGTGCAAAACCCCTCCCCTCCTTAGCATTAGACTCTCTGCTTTATATTCCCAAATGTCCATTTAATCTCGTGTCTATCAGTAAACTTACCTGCTTCTTAAATTACTGTATTCGTTTTGATACGGACTCTATTGCTATACAAGATCGCGACATGGGACGGATGATTGGCACAGGACGTGAGTCACAGGGTCTCTATCATCTCCATATCCCATCTACAGCATGCATTTTCTCTGAGTCTCCGGATCTCCTTCATAATTGTTTGGGCCATCCTAGTCTTTCCAAACTTCAGAAAATTATCCCAGGTCTATCTAAATTATCGTCCTTGAGTTGTGAGTCGTGTCAGCTTGGAAAGCATACTCGTAGTTCTTTTCCAAAGCATGTCAATAAACCGGCCACGTGCCCCTTTGAGTTAGTGCATTCAGATGTGTGGGGTCCTTGTCGTGTTAACTCTACTTTGGGATTTAAATATTTTGTTACATTTATTGATGACTATTCCTGTTGCACTTGGTTATTTCTTATGCACTCTCGTTCCGACTTATTTTCCATATTTTCATCATTTTGTGCTGAAATTAAGACTCAACATAATAGTACCATTCGTATATTATGAGGTGATAATGCTTGTGAATATTTCTCTGATTCCTTTACTAAATTCATGGCATCTCAGGAAATTCTTCATCAGTCTTCTTGTGCTTATAATCCCCAACAGAATGGCATTGCTGAGCGTAAAAATAGACACCTCATTGAAATTGCTCGCACTCTTATTTTACATAGCCACGTCCCTTTCCGGTTTTGGGCTGATGCGGTTCTAACCGCCTATTACTTAATAAATCGCATGCCTTCTTCTGTCTTACAAGACCAGGTTCCATACTCCATATTATTCCCTGATACTCCATTATTTTCTCTTCCCCCGCGTGTCTTTGGGAGCACCTGTTTTGTTCACATTTTCTCTCCTGGTCAGGATAAACTGTCAGCCAAGTCTACGAAATGTATTTTCTTAGGATATTCACGTCTTCAGAAGGGCTACAAGTGTTATTCTCCCCTCACACATCGCTACTTCATCTCTGTTGATGTTACGTTCTTTGAGTCTTCTTCATTTTTTCCTCATCCTCCAATGGAGTCTGATCCGATACTAGATGTTCTACCAATTCCATACGTTGCTTTCCTACCTTCGTCTGTTTCGATACCTCAGTCTAGTACTAATACCACTCTTCCTGTCGACAATAGTTTTGTTCCTTTTACAGATGATCCTGATGTTCCCGCTGCTGTTCCTGAGATCTCTGTCACTGCAGGTCCTGTGCTCGATTCCTCCAATGCTACGATCCTGTCTCCAGCTGATCAGTTTCCCATTACTATTTGTAAAGGTATGCGGTCTACATGCAGCCCTCATCCCATCTACAATTTTTTGAGTTATCATCGTTTATATCCTTCATATTATGCCTTTGTATCCACCCTATCTTCTGTTTCTGTTCCTTGCACTGTTCATAAGGCACTTTCTCACCTTGGGTGGCGTCAGGCAATGGTTGATGAAATGTCGGCTTTGCATCATAATCATACTTGGGAGTTAGTTTCCTTACCTCCTGGCCATTCGACTGTTGGTTGTCGGTGGATTTATACTGTCAAGGTTGGTCTAGATGGTAAGGTTGATCAGCTGAAAGCTCGTTTAGTGGCCAAAGGATACACTCAGATCTATGGGACAGATTATTTTGACACTTTTTATCCTGTTGCTAAGATGTCTTCCATCCGGTTGTTCTTTGCTATGGCTGCCATTCGACACTGGCCTATTGATGTTTGCTATGGCTGCCATTCGACACTGGCCTATGCATCAATTGGATATTAAGAATGCTTTTCTTTATAGTGAACTTCAGGAAGATATTTATATGGAGCAACCTCCTGGTTTTGTTGCTCAGGAGGAGTTTGGTTTGGTATGTAAACTTCATCATTCTCTATATGGCCTCAAACAGTCTCCTCGTGCTCGGTTTGGACGATTTAGTACAGTTATTCAAGAGTTTGGTATGATTCGATGTGAGTCTGATCACTCTGTTTTCTATAGACATACATCACCAGGGCAATGTATCTATCTGGTTGTCTATGTCGATGATATTGTCATTACAGGGAGTGATCAAGATGACATTGGACAGTTGAAGCAACACTTGTTCAAACACTTTCAGACGAAAGACTTAGGGCTACTCAAATACTTTCTTAGCATAGAAGTCGCTTAGTCCAAAGCTGGTATTGTTTTATCTCAGAGGAAGTATGCATTGGATATTCTAGAGGAAACAGGGATGTCAGATTGCAGACCAATAGATTCTCCTATGGATCCTAATTTGAAACTCTCACCTGGACAGGGGGAGCCTCTTGCTGATCCTGGAAGGCATCGAAGACTTGTTGGAAAACTTAACTATCTTATCATCACCTGACCTGATATTTACTTTTCTGTCAGTGTTGTAAGTCAGTTCCTTCAAACTCCATGTGATAGTCATTGGGATGCAGTTGTCCGGATTTTAAGGTATATCAAGGGAGCACCAGGTAGAGGCTTACTGTACGAAAATAAGGGCCATTCACATATTATCGGATATTCAGATGCTGATTGGGCAGGATCTCCATCTGATAGACGTTCTACCTTAGGTTTTTGTGTCCTTGTTGGAGGAAACCTAGTTTCATGGAAAAGTAAGAAACAAGCGGTTGTTGCAAGGTTAAGTGCTGAAGTAGA